ACCGCATTCATTCTATTTTCAATCAAGTGTAAAATGACTATGAACCGATTCGAACAAAACTAATGAATTTTTTTCCATCATTATTAGAGACATTGACTATCTATTATAACACAAGAAGTTCTATTCATTTTTTCTCTTAATTTCTTTATTAATAAAAATGAAAAACAAAAAAACAAATTAATGTATTTGTCGTTCATATAAGGCATCTATTTTTGATGATGAATCATTTTCTAATGATTTGCTAAGTAAAGGAACTTCTTGTTCAAAAACATATTGATTATTTAATGCTTTCTCTTGTAGTTGTTTCGGTGATGCTAAGTTGCCTAATTGAATATTCATTTTATTAATATGTCGACATTTATGTGTGTGCTTAGCTAACATTTGTTCTGAAACGTTTTGTTTTAAATCAAAGCTAGAATGATTTCTTGTGCATAAGTTTTCATAAATCGATGACCAAATTCAAAATCATTTTCATGATTTGATAAAACAAATGAATGTGGTTAATGATGAAAATACATCTGACGGAAATTTCGTTGATTATCGTAGATTATAAGTGCTGTTGTACTATTGATCGAGGATTCCAATACTTTCGAATTTATTCTAATACAATAATTATAATCTTGCTATTTTACTGTTATTCTATCTAAAAATTTGACCAACAGTTAGCAGACTAATATCTACATTTGATATTTTGTAATAGTTATTTTGAAAAAGAACTAACCATATATCATCAATGATTCATATTTCCATGGTACACACAGAATCTGAAACAATAGTACTACCGAGCAATGATTATTGAAGATGATAAGTTTGCATGATACTTTTCATTTTCTATGCTTTAATTAACACGAATAAAATATTTATTTTCTAGCTCTAGAATAAACATGTATAGTTGATTAGATACTTAATTAAATTAAACTTAGATATTCGATAGTATTAAAAAATATTTTATTGAATCGTGAACTCTGAACAATATTGTTATGATCTCGTTTATTTGACCTTACCATCATCATAAATATAAATATAAATGGGCGTTGGCTTTTTTTTCTTCACATTTGCTAGAAAATTATAAATAATACTTTGTATAACTATTGTTATCGATGTGTTTTTTTACCAAGTACGAATGCAATCAGCGTTATTTTACTTATTGGCTGATCAAAAAAAATAACAAACCAGATTTTCTTTTTTTTTCCTTTTTTGTTTGCTCGGTCATTATTAAAGGAGAAATAACTAGGCGTATCATATTTGTTATATAACTATAAAGTGTGAAACGTACACATTCATAATAAAATGGCACTTTATAGTGATCTCTTCAATTTCGATGATAGTAGACAATCTCACCAAGCGATTTTCGGAGAAGAGCCTCATCATCATTCATCATGGATACATGAACTAATAGCTGGTGCAGCCGGTTTCGCCGATAATATTCATATTATCTTCATTTTAACTGATGCTAATTAAAATTTTTTATCATACTATCTTACTGTACAATTTTTGACGAAGAGTCGAGATCTAAAAATACTTAAGTATTCATCGATATTAGATTTTTCAAACTAAATACAAATAATTTTCGTGCACCTTAAGAAACAACTTTTTAAGTAATTGAGATCAAAACAAAGAAAACATAGTTTTCTATTCATGAACACATTTTTCATGTAGGCTGATTGTAATTATTTTTATTTATTTAGCTATGAAAGCCTACGAAGATTATGTTCATAATACTGGTACAGAACTATCACATTCGACAATGAAAGAAATGCTTGCTGGTTTTGCGGCAGCCAAAATTGATAAACTTTTTGAAACAAAAGGGCTTCACTTTCTTGATCAAGAAGAGGCCAAACGTCGTGCTGCTCATCAAGCATATCAACTTGCAGATGAAACTTATGGATCTGGTGGGACATTTAATTGGTAAGAAAGTGAATATGGAGAACAATATCATCGTCATCATCATCAGAGTGAAACAAATTTCTTTAAAATTTTTATCAATGTGCGTTTTCGATGATAATTTATAATTGAAAATAAAGAAAAAGTTCTCTATTTCAGTTTAAATCATACTTGATCGTTCTATATATTCTGCGATATCTCTTATCATTTAGTATTATTGTCAGACGTATATATCATTCAAATTGAGTATTGAAGAAAAACATTAAGAAATTTAAAAGAATCTTTAAAAAAAAGAACTGATTTAGGCAAGAATGACGTATGAAATTACTCTTTTCACCTTTAAAAAAGTCTTTATTATCGGAGTTACGAAGAATTTTGAGGAAAATTACACTATTTCGATTATAATTATAATCTAATAATATATGATTGTTTCCTTTCTTCTGTTGTGTGCAACCATCTGATAATAATTATGTGACAAATGATAACAACAATAAAGAACTTTCACATAACGCATTATATGAACACTATTCATTACCTATTTTTCTATTTTTATAGACGTTGCATTCGTCCGTTTACCTAGTTAATTTATTAATCGAGTTATATCTCTATTTCATAAAAGTGTATGAAACGATTTGATTTTCTTGATAAAAAGATACTATTCATGACAATAAAAACAATGTACAAGAACCAAGAACAACACAGATTATTGTCAGAAGAAGTCTTGCAATGAGTAATGATTAAGCTTAATATAGAAAAAGACATTAGTGAATATATGTCTCTATCATTTTTGATTATATGCCGTCTTTACAATATTCATCTGAATGAGAAGAATATTTATCATGTTATTATTTTATTGAAAAAATCTTGCTTGTACCCGAGGGGAAAACAACTAAGACTTCGGTTTTGAAGTCTGTTGAAGTCTCATAAAGTCTTGTGAAGTCTTATGCAGTTTTTTTAAAATCTTTCGAAGTCTTGAAGTTTGCTGTTTTTTCCTCGATATAATATGAAAATCACAAGCAAATCGAATCAGTTTTTGAGCTGTACAATAGGGAAGTCACAATCACAAATAAATAAACCATTATAACTCCCGTTTGTAAGTTGATATTATTGAATATATCCACGTTTGATCATGCGCTCAGAAAGTAGTTTCTCAAAATGAATCATTTCTTTGTAATTTTTGAAAAATTAGGTCGTTTATACTGGAAATACAAAAGCATAAAGAATACAGATGAGGAATGTTTGCAGCAGTTTTCGTTACAATAAATCGTAAGAGCTCTTCGAGATCTATGTCATTTAGACAATCCACTTAGACAGAGTGTATACGAGGGCACAGATCGATAAGATAATACATTTGCTTAAGATTGAATTTTTTAATTTTGTTTTTGATCGAAACTCAGTGAAGAATATCTGTATTTTTCTCAAACAAACATTCTAACTGCAGAAACGACCAAGATGACATATTCAAGGAGTCCAAAATTAGGTGATAAATTTAGGATTTCGATCATCGTTTCAATAGAGATCTTTTGACAGTTAATATCCAAGTTAGTAAAGTGATTCTCAGTAAAAGAACACTCAATGTCGTCAAAAAAGTCGTCATATCGTAGATCAGAAGAAAAATCTTTAAGACTCAGCTTTCTATGTGTTCTAAATCTAGTCAAAGAATAATTAACGCCCTGTCAATTGGAAACGATGACATGTTGTGATGAATTATACTTAGTCTTCGAATCAGAATATCTGACAACATTTGCATTTTCATATATATCTCGCCATGATTTTCTGAACACAAAGATAAATTTGCCGATATAAGAGACTTCTCTTGATATGTCTATATGAACGAACTAAGCAGCTGAAGAATTGCTCGGAATTCATTTTCAGTTCAAAGAATCACTGCAAATTATCTGAAAATGACGAAATGAATTGATTGATTGTCGTCTCGAACGATATATTGCAAAAATCATTAAAACAAATTTCAAAAGATTCAAATAAAATTTTCACAAGTGAGAGTGTGAATATGTATGTGAGTCTATTGGTGTTAGTGTGTGCGTATATGTGATGAGACGACCCATTTCAGCACCGACACATTCACACCCTGCCAAGATTGGCGGGAAGATCAAAATCGTTTCATTGAATTTACACTGTAAACACGAAAAAGGCAATGGAGTATGACAACTACGAGTAAGAAAGCATAATGTGAAAGACCATGAGATTTCTACTGATCTTTGGTGTTCGGTATTTTATGCAGCGTATCCAAAACTTCCGGTGTCCATACCCAAGTAAGCAAAAGCTAAGTGAGGACGCCCAAAAAGACTAATCTAAAATATTCATACTACCTGTCAAGCGTAGTTTCAAACGTCTTTTGCATATCTGTTAGAACCGGTGCCTTTCCAAGGAATGTCCTTTAACTAACTCTGGACTAGTCCAAAACGTAATTCCATCCCTCATGTCTAGTCCGTTTTGTTTATTCATTCTGTTCAGAGTAGTCAGCAGAACATAAAAGCGAGAGAAAAGATAAGTTCGAACATCTGATCTAACAGTACTCGACATTCGATGGGTCTTCTTATGACAAACTATGATTTATCGATAGAAAGATGTCAGTTTAAACAGTATTTTATTTAGACTTAATTATCTGGACAAATTGTTTAGATTGACCCGTTTAGGAACGAAGAAACCATTGAATGCAATGAAAAGATTTTTTAAGCATCTGTATCATCTTTTATGATGAATAATCAAATGCCTCTGGAATACCGATCATATAGGGTATGAGTGTTGATGAAGAGAAGATGCATGTCCTCACCCACACCCATATATAAAAGTATTTTCAATCGAATGTAAAATAGCCGTGAACCGACTTGAACAAAACAAATGAATTTTTTTCCATTATTATTAGAGACATTGACTATCTATTATAACACAAGAAGTTCTATTCATTTTTTCTCTTAATTTCTTTATTAATAAAAATGAAAAAAAAAAAGACAAATTAATGTATTCGTTGTTCATATAAAGCATCTATTTTTGATGCTGAATCAAATGTTAATGATGAATCATTTTCTAATGATTTCTTAAGTAAAGGAACTTCTTGTTCAAAAACATTTTGATTATTTAATGCTTTCTCTTGTAGTTGTTCCGGTGGTGTTAAATTGGCTAATTCAATATTCATTTTATTAATACGTCGACATTTATGTGTGTGTTCAGCCAACATGTGTTCTTTTGTTCTCAAACGTTTTGTCACATCATCGTCCAAATCCCTAGTTCGAGAACGATCGACTGATTTTGTATAACCTTGAATTAATGCCAAAATAATTTCTTGTACATAATTTGTCATAAATCGATGACCAAATTCAAAAGCATTTTCATGATTCGGTAAAACAAATGGATGTGGTCGATGACGAAAATAGATCGGACGGAAATTTCTTTGATTATCATAGATAATTACTGCTGCTGTATTATTATATACATCACAATAATTTGGAGCTGAAAAAAGACTAATAAGAACAGGAAAGTGTGACATTGATCCTTGCTCATACATAAATAGACCATTAGGTACAACTTCATGTGCACGAATAATAGCTAAAAGACGATTTTCAATAAGAAAATTTTCACATACTTTATGATTGAAAAAGAAAGAACAATTCCGATTATTATTAAATATCCATGGAGGTGCTTGTCGAGCATTAAATTGTCGATGTGGATCAGACCACATTAAATCACATAGTGGACCTTCAGATGGAAGTTCTTGAAAACGATTTATTTGTGTTATATCATGGAGAGATTTTACATAAGGTGAGATTCCACCATGCATACATAAAAATCGATCATCAATTATACCACAAATAGGTAAACAATCAAATAATGACATAGATTCATGCCAAAGATCAGTTGAATATTTTACTTTACATTCTCGTTTGTATGTAAATACTTCTGTCATTTGACGAGATTCATGATTACCACGTAAAAGAAAGAATGATCGTGGATAAGTAATTTTAAGTGCTAAAAGAAGAAAAAGACATTCACAAGAGAATGAACCACGATCAACATAATCGCCAAGAAAGACGTATGGTTGTTGATCGAGTGAACCACCTAACTCGAATATTGTTAAAAGATCATAATATTGTCCATGAATATCTCCAACAATAGTACAACCACGTGGAAGACGAATTATATTAGGTTCTTGACGAAACAATACTTTGGCTTGTGAAAGAAGATGACGCCAAGTTTCTTCAGCAAGACGACCTTAGAAAATGAAAATTTGATATTGACATATGAAGATTCTGAGTAAAACCTTCATTTTTGAGATGATATACAAGTAGATCAAGATTTAGCCTTCCTTCATATCGAAAATCAAAGAGTTCGTCCATACGAAGTTTATGTACAATAGGATATGGAACATCCTTGCATACACGATCAACAAATGATCGACCAACAAAAGAAATCTAAAGTTAGAGCTTGAAACAATATATTGTAATATAATAATATACAACTAACTGGCTGATGTTGTGGTTGTCGTAATTCATTTAAACTTCGACTTCTTGATAAACCCTGTTGTTGTGAATTATCATTTTGTCTTAATGGTTGTACTTGATCGAATGGATTGAAATGCCATCGAACGTTTGAATCCATTTTTATCAAACAAATAAAAATAATCGATTGAATAGTGATTCAATTTTCACGTTGTAAACAAGTATGATACGCTTAGTTGCACTCTTGTGAAAATGTGTCATCATCGAATGAATCGTTCTTGTTAATAACAAATCGAATATATATTTTACTCATGTATTATTTACATTCATTTTATTTCTTTGAGAAAGTCATCTCATATTGTATTGTCAAAATATGTCTAGTATGTTTTATTATTAACATATATGTTTCATCTCTATATTGTGAATAAATACTTTGTTATTTGCTATAATAAAAACTTAAATAAAGTATACAGTTGATTAATTCTGCTGTGAGTCATTGACAAAAGAGAATATTTTTGAAAACAATCTTATTTCTATAATTCATCTAATACATATTAAAGTCTGTTATTAT